CGTAAAGGGACAGGGCCTGGCTGCCCACTTTGCCAGGTGAAAGGATGGGACATGACCTGGGGCACAGACCGAGCTGTCACTGAGGTGGACTCCGAGTTTGTTTTTGGAACCGCGTCGGCGTCCCCGGAGAGGTGCTCTGCATCTGGTAGCAGCCTCTTAGCGTCGGCCTGCCGGCCCTCTGCCTTCTCAAGAGCAGCGAGTTTCCTTTGCAGCCTGGGTGGCCAGGGTCTCCTCGCTTCATCTGATGAAAGCGCTTTCCGAGAGGCTGAGTTTGGGTCTGACCTCGGTCTAGTCCTAGTTCGGATCAGGGTCGTATCATTTCTGGTCCCTTTTGGAGCTTTGGATGAAGCCGAGGCACAAGACCTGGGAAAGTGTACACTTCGGGGTCAACTGGAATTGCTAAGCTTTTTTTTTTTTTAAAGAGTTTCCCCTATTGTGTCTTGTTAAAATAAAAAAATAAAAAACCCCACAACCCAACACACACACACACACACACACACACACACACACACACACAGATATATAATGTTGCATCAGCACAGAATACTGACAGCAAGTCTCAAAGACCCTGGGGGATGCTTGTGTTTGGGGTGGGAGAAATCTTTCTCTTAAGCATTTCCCAGCATTCCTTCAAGACATCTGGTTCTCTCATTTTCTCTCGGACTTTGGTGGCTTAAAAAAAAGAAAGAAAGAAAGAAAGAACTCCACTACTGTCATTATTTTTAACCATTTAATGAAATGTGCTGACTGGTGATCTCACATGGCATCTTGTCTCAAACTCGTTTGACCTTCAGAAGTGATGACCTTAACCAATTTTTACTGGCAAGTATCTTGACTTTATTACTCCGGAGACGGTTTATTTTTGTTCCTTAAAGAGAGAGTGAGCAAGAGAGAATGAGCTTTTCTTAAGATCAAAGACAAGGAAAGAGTAAAGAGGTTATACCCACCCATTTCTAGGCCGGAGCAAAACTTTTCTCTTTTCATCCGACTTTATGATTATTCTCCGTGCCCTTATAAAAGCACAAATAAACAAGGTGAAATCTCACCCGTGCCTCCTGCAGTCATGCTGCCCTCTTAAAGCATTTGGGAGCTTCTCTGTTTGAACTCCGAAATTGGGTTGCTGAGCGAGCCGGGAGCATTGTCTAACGGGGCTGTGGCCCAGTGTCAGGAGAGGCCCAAAGAAAACCAACAGCAACAGCCAAACAGACCCCGCAGCAAACTGGGTAGATCAGCTCTGTGCTCTGGCAAGACACTCAGAAT